AGAGTGCGTGGGGTATGTCCATTACAGGTACACACAAGCTGGCCACCTGTGAGGAACCACAGAACGGAGCAGGAACAGTGCGAAAATCCCACAAATCCTCCCACAAATCCTCCCAAATATTCACCCTTTTAAGACTCACTAAGCTCCCAGGAGCTCAAACAGATTAATTTCCCCTTCTACACCCCTTCCTCCCGCCCCCGTAAGTGATTCTTGACTGCTGTCAGCGTTCTGCCCTTTCTGGAGTATATTCAGTCCACAGCAACCTGGCTTTTTTTGGGGGGGGGGGGTGTCTTTTTCATTGATTGACTTACAAAGTTTCTGCGTATCTAGAAGGGTTACCAGCCTCCAGGCGATGCCCGGGTACCTCCAGTTGCCTGTGATCTTCAGACTACAGAGATCAGTATGCAAGATGCCCGGGTACCTCCCAGAATGGCCTGTGATCTTCAGACTACAGAGATCAGTTTCTCTGGAGAAAATGGCCGCCTTGGAGAGCGGACTCCATGGCATTATACCCTGCTGAGGTCTCTTCCCTCCCCAAACCCTAACCCTCCCCAGGCTCTACCCCCAAATCTCCAAACTCAGAGCTGGCAACCCCTGAGACCTGGTAACTCTCCCGAGTAGGATGAGTCCCTTACCTTGTCTGTGAGTGGCCTGATCTGACAACTTCCATCTTTGAAGTGTAGTGGGTTAAACGCATGTAGAAACCACTGAGACCGATGTAGTGCTCAGCACGGTTTACTGGACACACAACAAAGACAAAGACTAATGGACGGCTGGCCAACTGTATACACACTTGGGGACGCCTCCCTAGGTCCCGTTGGTAGGTTTGAATCTCCCGCCACAGTCCCATTGGTTCCCCCGTGGAGAAGCTAGGAGCCTAGTCCCCATTGTTCTTGCAGAGTCAAGCTCTGGGGTATTCGCTGGCCCCTGGTGGCGGTCAGCGGACATAACAATCTCCCCCCCGGGAGTCATCAAGTTTACTATTAGGTACAGTGATACCTTTCTGTAAGAAACAAGGATGTCACATTTAGGGGAATGATAATTGTGCTGCCCCAGCCAGCGTTTAAACTGTAGTTAAGTAGAACTGCCATATATAACTTCAATTCCCAGGAGCCAATGGGGACACGCATCCTTTTCACTGTTCCGTCTGACGCTGAGCCGACAGCGTCTTCTGGACAGTTTTCAACGACTAGCCAAAGTAGAATAAATCACTTTTATTCAGTTTTTCACATGCATTCTTTACTCACATCTTTGTGATCTAATTCATTTCACTGCCTCATGGTGAAAAGGATGCGTGTCCCCACTCCACTCCTTGCCATTTGAAGATAACAAAGGCCACGGGAAGAGAGCTGTAACTCTAATCCTCGCGCCTTTCTGAGTGCCGGATGCTGTGGGATGTCTAACTAAAGACTTCAGTTCCCAGGAGCCACTGCTCTTAAAGATATATATGGCAGTTCTACTTAACTACAGTTTAAATGCTGGCTGGGGCAGCACAATAATAATAATAATCGGATGGCATTGTGTGTAGTGTAGCCAGGAGACCCAAAGTTTGTCTGGCAGCCTGAGCCTGCTTCGGCGGAGAGGGCGGGGCGTAAATCGAATAAATAAATAAATTCTCACTCATTAGCATCATGCACCACTAGGTGGCGAGCTGGACATGTTTTTAGAAGGGATCAGAGAGCTCTGAAAGAGCGGTGACTGACCCAAGGTCACCCAGCTGGCCTCTTGTGGAGGAGTGTGGAATCGAACTCAGTTCTCCAGACCAGAGTCCATCGCTCTTGACCACTTCACCATGCAGGGGAAACCTTCCATGAAATGCAGCTCAGCAAGATTTTTTGAATTCAAGCCGAAGATTCCACACAGCCGTTTCAAGCAACTGTAATAGCCAACATATACAAATAATAATCACCTGGAATTACCTATACAAAATTAAGCCTCCTACCTTGGACTCCCTACGGGAGCTCCAAGCGGGGCCCTCCGAATTTCGGGGGGGGGCCGAGAAAGCGCGTACGAGCTGGGCGTTCTCGGGAGCTCCCGAGAAGCACGCCCATAGCACAGCGCCATACCGCCGGAAGTCCCCCGAGTCCATCGCTCTTGACCACTTCACCATGCAGGGGAAACCTTCCATGAAATGCAGCTCAGCAAGATTTTTCGGATCCAAGCTGGAGATTCCACACGGCCGTTTCAAGCAACTGTAATAGCCAACAGGAATCTCTTGGTGATGCTTCTGTGTTTGTTTTTCCCTCTCCAGGTAAAATGCGACCATTATTGGCCTTTCACGGAGGAGCCGGTTTCTTACGGGGACATCACAGTGGAGATGCTGTCCGAAGAAGAGCAACCAGATTGGGCTTATAGGAATTTCAGAATCAGCTACGTAGGTCAACGTAAACTGCCTTGCTTAGCTTCTCTCCGATGCTGGCAGTTGTGCAGAATTTGCACCTAAACTTTAAGCCACCTGTGCCTTGGGGTTTTGTTATGCATTTCCCACTCGATTTGGGACCCTCCCGGTCCTCCTCAGGGTTCCCACCAGCACCTTATCTCAGATTCCAAAGTATAAGAGAAGACCATAAAGTCGTAGAGTTGGAAGGGATCTCCAGGGTCATCTAGTCCAACCCTCCCCTGCACAATGCAGGAAATTCACAAATACCTCCCCCCCTCCCCAGAGACCCCCGTTCCATGCCCAGAATTGCCCTTCTTGCACAGTTGTGCCCCTTCGGCTTTGATTCTCCTGAGAGGCTTGTCTTAGGCAAACTGGTGACAGAGGAGAGATTCTGAAGTGGGAACTCCTAAATTACAGCTCATTATGCTCATGATAACAGCGTTCTGTGCACCTTGGTGTTTAGTCATGCCGGCCACATGACCACGGAAATGTCTTCGGACAACACTGGCTCTTCGGCTTTGAAACGGAGATGAGCACCACAACCCTAGAGTCGGATTCGACTGGCTTTCGAGCAAGGGAACCTTTACCCTTGCCTTTTTATGCTCATGATAACCACGCTTATAATAACAGGTATGCTACAGTGAAGAAGAACATACCATCGAGTCACAACTGACTCGTGGCAACCCCATCCTTTGGGCATTCCAGGCAAGAGACAAACAAAGGTGGTTTGCTATCGCTTTCCTCTATGTCGCAGCCCCGGTCTTAAGTACATAAGAAGAGCCCTGCTGGATCAGGCCAACAGTCCACCTAGTCCAGCATCCTGTCTCACACAGTGATCAACCAGTTCCTCTGGAGGGCCAACAACAGGGCACAGAGGCCGAGGCCCTTATAAGAATATAAGAAGAGCCCTGCTGGATCAGACCAGTGGTCCATCTAGTCCAGCATCCTGTCTCACAGAATGGCCAGTCAGTTCCTTCAGATGGCCAACAACAGGGCATGGAGGCTGAGGCCTTCCTCTGATGTTGCCCCTGGCTCTGGGATTCAGAGGCTTAGTGCCTCTGGATGTGGAGGTTCCCTTCAGTGACCATGGCTAGTAGCCACAGCTGGTCTCCCATCCAAGTACTAACTGGGGCCAACCCTGCTTAGCTCCCAAGTTCTCATGAGCCATGGGTTAAGATGGGGTGGTTTGGGCTGCTACTATGCTGCGAGAGATTCCTAAATGAACCCCCTCCATTTCCCCCTTAGATTCGTAGCCCCTCTGTTCAACAGAAACAAATCATGATATGAAATCCTCATGGCTGTATCGTGGGCTGTGGATTTGTGCATCTTGGATGGCTGCAAGCTTTCATTGGACTTTCATTGGACACCCCCTCAGTGGCGGACCTAGATTTTAGGGACCCTGAACTGTTATGGGGGCCCCCCTTCTCAATCAGCCACCACAGGGCAACATCTGACAAGATCCAAAGGGCCTTGCTGCCCTTGCAAGGACCTCGAGGCCCAAATGGTGGAGAACGGGGTGATGGGGAGGAGCCCTTGAAAATGGGCTGTACAGTGAGCCTCTTCCCACCAGCAACGAGATCTGGGTAACCGCTGCTATCTTCTTCAGTGGGGTTGTTCCATGGCAAATCACAATTATTATTATTTTTTTAATTAACCACTACATCTCAGATTTTGATTAAAGTTGCTGTACTGGCCACATGAGACAGGTGTTAGAGCATTATTCTAAGGTCAATATTAAGTACTTCAGCCCGCTGGGTTATGATTCCGTCACTAAAATAGCATTGTTTTGATAAAGGTAAAGGTAAAGGTTCCCTTGCTCGAAAGCCAGTCGTATCCGACTCTAGGGTTGCGGTGCTCATCTCCGTTTCAAAGCCGAAGAGCCAGCACTGTACGAAGACATTTCCGTGGTCATGTGGCCGGTGTGACTAAACACCAAGGCGCACGGAACGCTGTGACCTTCCCACTGAAGTGGTACCTATTTATCTACTTGCAATTTTTTGCTTTCGAACTGCTAGGTTGGCAGGAGCTGGACTAGAGACGGGAGCTCACTCCGTCATGCGGCACACTTGGGTCTCGAACTGCTGAACTACCGACCTTCCACAGCCTGCAGTTCAGCGTCTTAACCACTTGAGCCACCGCAGCTCCTTGTTTTGATAACAAACACTTAAAAAAAAACCTCCATCAATTTTGTTCAGGGTCCTTCCAGGATTAGGGGCCTTGAAGCTTAAGCTTCCTTAGTTTCATAGTAGGTCCACCCCTGCATCTCCTTACCGCTGAACATGGAATTCAGCCAGGGCTTTCCTTTGGAAAGAGACAAGGAGGGATTGCAAATAATATTTTTCGAAGCCGTGCGGGGCAAGTGAGAGGGATGCAGGCCTGCGCAGCCCAGCTGGTGTTGGGGCTGCTGATATAGTCCCCCGAGCAGATCCAGTAGATTGGGCCATTCGTCGCGTCTCCATACTTCATTCACTGCTAGGTTTGTTGTGGTGTGTATGTATGGCTTCTGTACTTCCTGCGGAGCAGGGCTCTTTTTGTAGCAGGAGCTCCTTTGCCTATTAGGCAACACACCCCTAATGTAGCCAATCCTCCGAGACCTTACAGAGGTCCTTACAGGGCCTACTGTAAGCTCTTGGAGGATTGGCTACATTAGGGGTGTGTCGCCTAATGATGTTTATTTCGTTTCCCAAATGGATGGGCTAAGACTGCAGTGCTGGAGAGGGGGAGAGTGGACCCCATCCCCACCTCAGTCTGCTTGAAGGGCCAAATGACACATTGCATTTTGTGGCAAGTTAGTTTGGGGGTTCTCTGGACCCAGCTCGCTTTCCCCTCAGTCACAAAGCAGATGTACCTATGAAGCTGCCTTATAATGAATGAGCTCATTGGCCCATCAAGGTTAATATTGTCTACTCGGACTGGCAGTGGCTTTGTGGGCTCTCAGCTTGGGGTCTTTCACATCACCTACTCCCTGAGGCTTTTAACTGGAGCGATGCTGGCAGTTGTGCAGAATTTGCACCTAAACTTTAAGCCACCTCTGCCTTGGGGTTTTGTTATGTATTTCCCACTCGATTTGGGACCCTCCTGGTCCTCCTCAGGGTTCCCACCAGTTAGTACTTGGATGGGAGACCAGCTGTGGCTACTAGCCATGGTGACTGAGGGGAGCCTCCACATTCAGAGGCACTAAGCCTCTGAATCCCAGAGCCAGGGGCAACATCAGAGGAAGGCCTCAGTGGGAGCCTCCTGTTGTTGGCCATCTGCAGAGTGTGTGTGTGTGGGGAGGGCTCTTGCTTTTCCCTCCATACTGTTTGCAGCTCCAAAGTTTTGCAAATAACTCCCTGCTGGGGCTGCTTCGGCTTGGGAAAACAGTGTGGAGGGGAAGGTGGGAGCCCCTTCTCACTCTGCATTGCAGTTCTGAGCAGAATCAGGCCCCCGCGGACTTCAGAAATGCCTTTCCCCACAGCTGCTGTGTGACTACAGGGGAAATCAATAGGGTCCAAGGAATCCCAGCTCAGCTCACCAAAAAACATAACCTGCAGTTTGGCCCTCAGTTCTTGCAGAGAAAACAGTTGGGCACAAGAAGTGTGCATCCCATTTTTCCCCTGCCAGAACTTAAAATCACCTGGGAGAGAAGGCATTTTCAATCAGAAAAATGGTACTGGTGAGGAGGGAAGAGTTAAGCCCTTCT